CAAAGAGTAAATTATGAAACATTAATACCTCTCATCACGAATTGTCGCTATCCATACAATAATTGCTCAGTCAAGAATTATAAAGGTAAAAATAAAGGTAGAACTTAAAGTATTTGTTTGTCTTGTGTAGGGGTGGGTTTTGTTTTATTGTGTTGGATTGTGTTATGAACACAAGCAGCGGGTCTTTACCTAGTGTGGTGGTGAGTCTGTGAAATTCGGATAGCCAGATTGAATACAAGTAGTTGTTTTGATATATTTTGTGTATGTTTATTTATTTTAAGATAGTATTGTTTTTAGTTGCATGTAGTTTATATATATATATATATATATATATATATATATATATATATATATATATATATATATATCAATTAAAATGTCGTTCACTCTATGCAATTAATTTTAAAAAGCTCAAAATCTGATATCTGTTTTAGGTGATATTTTTTTTTGATGTTAATGAAACTGTGAATACACTCACTATCCAAAACGTCCAGCAAGACATGTTTCGAATTATTTGCTTACCCGATCCTTTTCGTCAATACACAGACAACTGCATACTGAATGTTGTGAATAGATTCGGAGGTAATTTTACTTTTGTTCTAACATTTGTTCGGATGTTAGATGTATGGTTTGGTAAGAAACTTTTTAAACACGCTTTTAAAAAAATCATATGTGGACTTGTAGGTTTTACCGCCTGGTCGGTGTGTAGCAGGACGAAGGTCTGCCGAATTAAAAAAAAAATCTAAAATGAATATATACTCCAGTTAAGAAACAAAATCAGTTTACATATCTATATGCTTAGCTTCAGCACAGCGAGGAAAAAACTAAAACTACTGTTATAAATCATACTGCACATTAACTCTTCCGACATTTCATCTTTCAAAATCAATTATTCGATTTTTATTTTCTAAAATACACTGTAATGTCATTAATGGACGCCCCATAGGCAAAATGTTATTGTCGAAAATCGTAAAGCGACACCCTCATCCCACAACCATCCTCCTCCCCTCCCCCCTCCACACTCCATTTCCTCTCAACATTATAGACTATAATAACCTTTTTAATAATGTAGAAACTGCTTAGACATTACGAGATCCAGTATACGTAAGATTTACTTTTTCTTAACTATCCGGTTTTTATTTTCACTGGATCGGATCCTAAAAAGAAATTACATAGAAGAAGGATGCAAATGAGCCAACTAATTTCTCATACAGGAACATATATAGGAGAAACCAGTTTCATTATGAACTCAATTTTTCATCAAGGGGACTTCTTTTCATGAAAACTATAGACGATACTTAGTTACAAGTGTAAAGCAATAGTCTACAAAGCTCTAATAGGTATCCAACTCGCGTTAGAGATCAGATGTCGAAGGAAGTAAAAGTTATGAATCTAGATCTAAATCTAGATTTAGGTCACTAGACTTAACGTGAATTCTAGATCTAGACTTAATGTAAATTCTACATCTAGAATCTACTTCAGGCCTTAATTATTTTATTTTATCCATCTTTGTTTTGCTTCAATGATCATCTAACTCGAGAATGCATAGGATTTATCTATTTTATACTCTAGATTCTAGATCTAGATTTTCTAGATCTAGATCTAGAGTTACGGCAAAAACTAGAATCTAGACTCGACGTAAATTCTACATCTACATCTAGACTTAGCGTAAATTCTACATCTAGAATCTAGAACCAGAATCTATATAATTATTTTATATAAATCTTTGTTTAGCTATGGAATTGGCTAGTTTGGGATATAGGCCCCTAATTAAATTAAAAATAATAGGACCTATTCGCGTAACTGGTTTCTTACTTTGCAGTACAATATAGCAGTAATTCTACATCGGTTAAACAGTGCCCCTATTTACTAAAAAGGGGGTGTAATGGCTACCAAGCAGGTGGTACTGGTTCGAGACATCACAACAAATTTAATTTTTGTTTCATTTTTGGATTTTTTAAAACGTGAATGATAAAGTTGCCTATCGGGACCTCGCGGGACACAGGGCAGGTGAAGTTGAGTTCACCTGATTCTTCGTCCTCAGCATATGAAGGGATAGTGTGGTCGGAGATATGCTCCGCCGGAATCGTTTTTTTTAAACGATAAAGACATGTTGTCTAAGATTTGGCGAGACACTGGACAGGTGAAGTAGAGTTGAGTAGGTCACCTGTTACGTCAGAATATGAAGGGATAGTGTGGTAAGACCCATTCTCAACCTTTATATATATAGATTCATTGATAGATTAACCACATTAATTATAAAAATTCCGAACAATGACTTAACTTATAATGAATAGTGACGTCACATGATTTATTTACTTTTTACAAAAATAATGGCGGCTTCTATACAAAATTTTGTTGCCTATTCAAACGCTTACCGCATTATATAGCTAATTTTCTGTATACGTCCGTTTGCTATTTCCATTACTTTCCAACGCTGTTATCAATTGTCAATAGTCCTTTTCATTTAAGTATACAATACATGTCTCTAGATCTAGAATCTAAAGATCAGCTGTCTAAGGAAGTTATTTATGGATCTAGAATCTAGGTCAAACCAAAATTAATTAGTAAAAAATAAAATCGATTTTAAAAACAGAATAAATTTTTGAGTTTCTTTATTAAACTATTTTAGTCCGTAAATATTTGATATAAATCTTTGCTTTTTAGCTTCACGGATCATCTAATTCTAATTCAAGAATACAAGTGATTTATCTATTCTAGGATCTAGATCTAGCAAGAGTTACGGCGAAAGCTAGATCTAGTCTGAAACAAACCAGCCATAGAATCTAGATAATTCTATCTAGATCTAGATAATAACTAGACTTACCCGTCATACCTTGGATGACTGTGGGTTTCGGGGGTCATCCATAAATGACATCACGTCTGTGATTATTCACAAAATAACCAGAACCCTACATTCAAAAAGACGTTTTTTTATCTTTTAAAAACAACGATTTCGGCTGAGCATGGGTCTGACCACACTATCCCTTCATATCCTGACGTCACAGGTGACCTTTAAAAAGTTCTATTAAATTTTAGTGACACCGAATTTAAAATTTAGCCTTCATTCTCCAAAGCAAATTTTAGAATGCTTTTCTTGCATATCTAGCCATGGCCACCTATAGCATGTTTATATAACGTGAAAACCCGCCATTTTGCTCGTGGTAAACATAGCCTAAAAATGGTCGGAATTCATGCACCCGGTCCGGACGCCATAGTTGTTAGCAACCGACCACGCCTCCAAGTTAGCGAGTAATCCTACTATATCTAGATCTAGAACCGAGATAGATAAATCCCATGTTTTCTCGAATTACATGTTCATTGAAGCAAAACAAACATTTATATACAATAATTAAGGCCTGAAATAGATTCTAGACGTAGAATTTACATTAAGTCTAGATCTAGAATTTACTTAAAGTCTAATGACCTAGATCTAGAATCTAGATCTCTAGATTCATATTTCTTCCTTCGACAACTGATCTGTAGATCTAGAGAAATGTATTGCATAATAAAATAAAAAGAAGTGTTAAAACTTTGATAATAGTGTTAAAACGTAATAAATACAGCAAACGGACGTATTGTTAAAGTTATAGCCGGCAGAAAATTAGCTTTATAACGCGTTAAACTTTGAATGGGCCACAAAATCTATGATGGAATCCACCATTTTATTGTACTAAAAAAATAAACAAATCATGTGACGTCACTATACAGTCAAGGTAAAGCCATGATTTGAAAACTTTAAAATTAATGTGGTTAATCTACCAATCAATAAATCAATAAATTAATTAACGTCTTTAAATAAATGTGTGATTAACAGTCTGTCTGACAAAGAAAAATTGTTTTCTACCTACATACTATTTTACAGCGCAGATCCTCAACAGTAGACAATATGACAAACAAAAAAAAACAAAAAATTATATTCAAACATGTAAACAAACTTGAGTTTTAGTAGTATATAGATGAGTTTCTGTACTTAAATATTTCAGACCTTCACTATTTTATATAGATCTAAATATTTGTTTCTTTAGCCATAGAATTGGCTAATTTAAGATAAAATTTAATTTGAATGATACTATATCTAGGGCCTATTCGCGTAAGTGAAGTTTCTTAAGCAGACTCAAGCTATTGATATATAGCACAAAAAAAAAAACGGGACTTGGCGGGATACATGGCAGGTGAAATAGAGTTCACCTGTTTCTTTGTCCTCAGCATTTAACGTTGAAAAGTTTGCGTGGATAAAAGAAAGTCTGATGACATATATAAGAAGGGTTTCATCAATGCTTTATCAATCCTATGCTTCTAGACGCGTGACCTTGTTTTCTAAAAGCGAGTTATTTAAATGTAAACAATGCCTGCGCTTGGATCATAATTATAGAAACACGGGTTTACCTACACTGTTTCATGAAAACCTTGAATGTACGTTAATCACTCAGCAAAATAATGAGGTAGAACGCACTTCGGTGACCACCCATGTGTCAAGCTCAGGACAAATGATCCAATACACTATTCAAATTAATTTTGCTGTGAGATATTTTGTCAGAGATATTTTGTCTAAGATCAAGCGTCCATGGTATCATTTGTCCTGATATATTTTGTCCTGGTATCATTTGTCCTGATATATTTTGTCCCGAGATCATGTGTCCGTGAGATATTTTGTCTGAGATATTTTGTCTGAGATATTTTGTCTGAGATGGTTTTTCCTGAGATCATTTGTCATGAAACCGTTAGCGTTACTTATGGTCTATTATTAGATGCTCGATCTCAATTTCTGATTGGATCTTGTAAAAATAGATGCTAATAGCATCATTCGCGAAGTGACAAAACTGTTTGCCCTACCGTGGCACCGGAGGACACGCCTGATTCAATTTAGTGAGCGACTGTAAATGCCCATTTCATGCATTGTTTATAGCACTATTTAGAAAAACGCAGGCGCCGTTGCACTCAGGGGAAAGCACAGTGTGCTAAATCGAATCCAACAGGGGCACCGGGGGTCGCGCCTGGTTCGATATACTCATTGATTTTTGTTTCTTACTCTAGCTAGTAATACTGAATATCTTATCCAATTCAGTTTGACTGTGCATGAAATTTCATTATCGTTGAAACAGCCCCGTCCATTTATTCAAAGATCTACACACGGACCAAAGGAGACAAATTCACCTGTTATTGTGAGATAATTAACAATCTCAGCCTGGAATGGATCCTACAGAAAATCAACGGGGAGGAGATCAGCCTGGTCAGGGAGTGCTACCAGCCATACACCAGTTGTGACATCCGGTACGACCCAGGTTGGTAGAACTTCTATTTTCTGATCTTTTACAAAGCTTTTTATTCAGCTCTATTCCTCTTTCGTACTATTGTCGTCCTTCCGTCATGTATCGAAACCTACGAAAACAATATTGATTTCTACCGAAAGTAGTTTAACAATTGTAACGTTTTGACAATACATAAATTTGGTCTTTAACTTTTTGCAGGCTGTTATTTTAAACTTGTCATATTGGCGTAGTTGTTTTAAAAAGCCATTTTAAAAGTAAAAAGTCTAAATAATCCTAATATATAAAAGGCCACGTGCGCTCTTCTCTCTCTCTCTCTCTGTCCGCAAAATATTTTCGCCAGACATCACGTCAGAATCGGCAGCGATATATGGATACCTTTATACGGACTTTTGTTGAAAATAATATGTTAGATGTTTTAAATGTATAACCACAATTTTATTTAAAGAAGAAAAATAAAAAATAAAGGCGTATTCGAAAATTTCTATATTAGGACTAAACTATTTCAAGACTTATTTATTTTATACAAAATCTTTGTTTGGAACTGGCTAATTTGGGATAAAAAAATTAAATTGAAAGAATAGGCATATTCGCGTAAGTTAAGATTTTAAAAAACGTGTTTCATTCTCCGTATAATATAAGGTGCCTAAATAGCGGAGATGTTAGTGTACTATAAACCACGCAGGTGGTGCGGGTTCGAGACACACCAAGTCAACTTGGATAATGTATTTTTTTTTTTGTAATTTGCTCGGGCTAAACTTAAAAAAAAAATTCTATTAGGATTCTAGATCTAGATCTAGATTGTCGGGCACTTCCGGGCGCCACAGGCGCTTCAAATTTGGCAGGATCTTGCCTTGGGGCGACAGAACACGGGGGCCGGTTGGCCGAAAAGTCTACGATGAGGGGGTCAAAACTGACCTCGATTGACCGGTGCCTTATATGAGCTATAAATCGAAAAAAAAAATGTCCACGGAGGAACCTCTTCATAACTCTTGAGGTCGTAGACCGACCCTCGGGCGAATTAATTAAGCATTCAAATTCTCAATGTTTTCGAAAGCGAAGCTGGGCAGCATGCCTAGTCTTAATATAAACGATGAAAATTCCCGCTTACGCTGAATTCGGAGTCGAACAAGTCATACATTTAAAAAAAAATTAGAAAAAAAACATAATCACCCTGAGAGGTAACACACAACGAAGCGACGCTTTGGTTGTAAGATACTGGCTTTATTTCAAATCCGTATACGGCGAGCAGTGACGGAACTAGAAAAAAAGAATATTTAAGAAAGTTTAGGGGAGATCACTCCCGCTTTATTAATTTATTAAATTTGAAACCGAATACTATTTTAAAGGCAAGCCAATTAAACAAGGGTCGAAACTTCAAAAATTCCAGTGGTGCTCTCAAGACAGACAGAAAAGAGAAAGTAACATACTTTTCTTTTAACCGTTGAAAGCCTCCATACATCCGTTTATCTTTTCCAGACCTGATTTACATAGTTTGGTCGGCAGACGAGATGCGGTCTAGAAAACGATTGGGGACACTTGACTTTCGGAATAGCAGGCCCGCATTTCACCGCTGGTCCAAATTTATGTTTAAAATTTTTGTGAATTACAGTGCAAAGTTGTGAGCCTTCGATTTGAGACGAATTCTTATCTAATAGATACCTATTCATTTTCTTTCCTCAGCGAATTTTACACTAGTGAATGAAGATCGACTTGCATACATGAACCTTTCTTCTGGACCTCAGTTTTTTTGTATCTAGACTGACAGTGAAGCATGTGGACAAAGATATGCTACGTCTCATTTGTACCAACGCTATTGATGTGTATGGACGAGACCGATGCTTGATGAATGTTGTGGATTACGTTCCACGTAAGTTTTGTTATAACATTCTAATGAGGTTAGATATTTATTTTGTTGTAGTTTTTCATACACTTTCTATTGTCATTTTTTTTTCGTTTTCTGTAGACTGTTATATGTTATTTTTATTGGGGGTCGTGTCGGTAAAGCTAAAAAAAGTCTCGAGTTAAACCTACTCGATAGCTCGATAGCTGGGGAGAGCAACTCTTCGAGGAGAGACAACTCCAAAATCAAGCAACTGCTGCTTTGTAGTTTGTTCTTAGTAGGACAAAAGTTATGGAAACAAATCCAAAACAAAAGGTAGAATGAAATCTGAATCAACGGTCTGAATGGTGGATAACCAGTTGAAACGTATTCTTTATTGTGTTGGAGGGAGTCTCTTTCAACACAAAAATAATAAGAAGTTTTAACTCCTTTAGGAGAAAATAGCATCCTGACATTTTATAGATATGCTCAACATGATTTTGTTGTACATTCTGTAGGCCTATACAGCTTGTTGTTAGTTTGATTAAAAGGTCTATAGATTTTAGTTGTAGTTTTTGTTATTATTCAAAATCTCAAAAGGATTGGTCATTTTCTTTAGGAGATTTGCTAAGAAAATTAATTCAAAACAACGTATTTTCGTAAAATATATTTGCACAATTGTTATAAAAAATAGATTTTACATGCAGTCTGTAATATTTTTGGACAGGTACTTGTTCTGTTTTTAAAACTATAAAGTATGACAACGTATTTTTCTTTTTCAGCTGACAACGGCACTTCCAAGAGCCCAACAACATATTCACAACGATTGCCTTCAACTACCCAGTCCTCGGACTCCGTTGATGTAACTCTGGTGGTTTGCGTCATAGGTTTACCAATTATAGTGTTGTTAGTCATTCCTTCGCTGTTTTTATGTTGTTTGATCCGCTGTAGAAATCGTAAAGCTTTACAAAGACAAAATGAAGCCATGCGTGCTGTTAGACGTACGCCTCAGTTAACGCCAGCAGCGGCTCTTGGACCTGATCAAAATGACATGAGTTCAACACGCGTAAACCCACTAGTTCACCTAAGTAACAACACACTAACTACTGAGTCGCATCAGCACACAGCATCAATACAAAGTACTGCACCAAACGACTCACCACCACCGTATTCCAGTCTATTTGAACTAAGAGTCGAACCGCCCCCATACACGATACTGCCAGCTGAAAGCTACAACTGCGAGTCTGCTCCATCGCAACAAACACAGAATGTTCCGCCTCCATACACGACAAGATACACTGCGACATACAACAGTGTGTCTCTGTCTGCCCAACAACAAGCACCCAATGAACCGCCTCCACCGTACTCAGGTACACGTTTGTTTATAGAGCATATATTAATGTGCTGATCATTTAAAGTAGTGCTTTCATTAGGCAGGTATCCAGGCCTACAGACAGACACACAAATGACAGACAGGAGACTTGACGGACTGTAAGAAACAAGATGATTCGGAAAATTGACGGATTGACAGACAAACGACAACGAAAACTTGACAGATACACTGAGATACTGTTGACATTTTACGCAAAATCTGACAAAAATATCCTAACAGATAAAAATACCATGATTTAAAAAACAAATAAAGTAATCTATAGATTACTGCATATCACATTTTTAGATTTTATTCCCGATGACTTCAAAGTAAATCTTTGCTTGCTTTTTAACTAACTCAAATCTTTTCTACTTCAGTTTGGCATACCAGCTGAAACTCCACAAATGGTCTTCGTTGGATGAATGATTTGTTATCCTGCATACTTTATCATGTTTGCTCAATAAATTAACATGTGTCTATATTCTTCTGTATTATTTTAACTTGTTTTTACTGGAATAAACCATCATTAAATTTTACCTGCAAATACCATGAATTCTACGGTAATTTGTTTTTTTTTATCCTTGTGTTGGTTTTAGTAAATAATGTAGGATAAATATCTATATATTCCATCAGTCCAATTTTATATACCATGGCGCCTGAAGGGATAATGGTGAAGTTCACGTGTGCTATATTTACACCAAACTTGTGATTTTCTATACATGATTACGTGATATTTCAACCTGTTTGGTCATTAAAACGTGTCGTAGAATTGTGTTCTGTATCGAGTGTCATTTTTCGAACTCTAATAAAACGATTTATTAAAATCATTTAGCTGTAGATTATTTTGTAATAACGATAAAATTATGACGATCCGTTTTAGACTCCACATATAAGAAGCCTTTTCTAAATTGAAATGTTAACTGTAATATATGAATTTTTAAAAAGTAAATAGCCATGCATAAAGCTACGTTCAAAACAAAAAAAAAACACTTAGACTTTTTCTGGATTCTAAAATTTGACAATTAAAATAAATGAAATAAAAGTATTGGAATAAATATGCGAGATGATATAGCTTTTTACACAGTCGTAGCGAACAATTGTATTACCTAACATTTATGTAAAGAAGTCATAAAAACGTTTTAATAGCAAGCTTTTATGTAATAAAGCACTAAAAAGTAGAAAATACATAATTTACCTTAAATATTTAATAATACACTATCATTTAAATAACCATAAAGATCAGCGTTGGTCACTTTATAAGCAAGTGAATACTCATACAAATATTTAAGACGAGACCCACGCTTTTATTTATAGTTATTTAAATGGTAGTGTTTTATTAATTATATAAAGAATTATAATGTTTTCTAATTTTTAGTGCATTTTTATCCAAAAGTTTGTTATTAAAACGATTTTTATTCATTTTTCTTTTAGTGTATTTTATTTTTTTTTAAATTAAAAAGAGTTGCATGACTAAAAACCATTGTGGACCTAATGAACATGATACCGCACGTATAATAGTGCGGAATAATTGAAAAAATAGTTGCTTTTTAAAAATAAACTTTGAATTAATTTATAAATAATTAATTATGCATCCAATTAATTCAAATATAATGTCAGATTGCATAGTCTCAATTTCTTGACCCGCGTGCCAACTTTGAAACGATTCTATCAGTTATAAATGCCAGAAATTTTGCTTCAGCGTTTCGATCTAGACAGACTGACGACAGACATCTGTCGACATACTGACAGAGGAAGCAAGTTAAATAAAAGCTTCTATATCTAATAAAAAAATATGAGATATCAATACAAATTATATGTTCAATACAGTCACACCAATATGTTTAAGGTTATGGTTGTAGTTGCAGTTGTGTTTATGCTTATGTCTTTATGTATAAGCTTATACTTTTATGATTTTATTTTTATGTTTTTATGTTTATATCTATCTTTTTAAGCTCATGTTTTTAAGTTTTTATGTTGATGTTCATGTTCAAGTTCACGTTCAAGTTCAAGTTCACGTTCACGTTCAGGTTCAGGTTCAGGTTCAGGTTCAGGTTCAGGTTCAGGTTCAGGTTCAGGTTCAGGTTCAGGTTCAGGTTCAGGTTCAGGTTCAGGTTCAGGTTCAGGTTCAGGTTCAGGTTCAGGTTCAGGTTCAGGTTCAGGTTCAGGTTCAGGTTCAGGTTCAGGTTCAGGTTCAGGTTCAGGTTCAGGTTCAGGTTCAGGTTCAGGTTCAGGTTCAGGTTCGGGTTCGGGTTCGGGTTCGGGTTCGGGTTCAGGTTCAGGTTCAGGTTCAGGTTCAGGTTCAGGTTCAGGGTTAGTTGCTTGTGTTTGTATTTGTGTTTATAATTATGTTTATATTTATGTGTATGTGAGATCATTTGTCCTTGAGATCACTTGTCCTGAGATCATTTGTCCTGTCATCATTTAATGATACCCTGTCTGTATGGTTCATATTGTCATGTTGTCACCAACAACACTGAGAATATCGCTGTTGGTATTTATCTACGGCAGATATTAAGCAACAACGGGCTACGTAAATTTGATGGTATGTGCAGTGATGCATGTCGGTCGGCCTAAGTCACAAGCCCTACAACCCGGAAGTATCATTGGCGCCTAACTTTTATGTGTTACGCTATAGGTTCTTCATTATTTGTTCAATATTATACGGTCTCTGTTTTTGGTTTTATATTAGATGAATGTAAATCGTGTTATACTACACGTTCTGCATAGTTTGGTTTTATTAAAGCAGAATCTAAAACCTTGTACGAATCCATTCATTATATTTCGGTTGACAACACGGACAGTGTTTCTTTCAGATTATTTTCTCGGGGTGGGGGGGGGGGGGGGCACTTGACATTTGGGGGGAGGGGGGACGACGACTAAATTTTACGCAGCGCGGACACTGTATGTGTAAAAATTTAATTCCATTATGTTTGTGGGGGGGGGGGGGGGAAGAAACACTGAACACATACCTGCGGACATAAACAAATAATCAAACATACATTGACATACTCTGCTGGTTTAATGAAGGAACACAATAGGGACACGGTCGGCTGTACATAACAGCAGTGTGTTCGTTAGGGGCGTACTATAAATAGAATGGCCAAAAAAACCTGTCGCCATGGAAGGTATTGCTAAAAGATCGAGTCGTGCGTCATTTTGTTGTGTTCTTTCAACAACGAAGATGTGTTTTAATCTTCTTGTGCTAGATTCATCGAGTGATATTATTAGATATTATTTTTTATGTTAATAGAAAGTACGTTTTATGTAAAACTTATAGAAAATAGTGCGATATATTAACGATAATTTTTAATTGCGTTTTGTAAAAGTAAAGATTTCTCTATGGACCTAACGAACATTAAGCAGATGAAGTTGAGTGCATGTGTTTCTTGACCTCGGCATATAAAGGGATAATGTGGTCAGCACTATGCCCAGCAATTGTGTTTTGTAGATCACTCGATTTATTAGCTAGAGCAGAAATAATCGATTGATAATATTGATTTTTTTGTAACATTGCGCAATCGATTTTTATCTGGTATTTACATTAACCCTGTAGCGTCAAAGGCGCTAGACTAGTGTATTACAAGTGTTAAATAAACATAGACTTGAATCTATAGAGACACATCAAGAATCTGATAGATTTATAAAAGAAAATAGGTCTTTTTTTACTTTCTCGTATATACGAAGTATAGAGAAAGTCTTGTAATCGTGCAAAAAAAAAAAAAATCGAGATTTTTACAAATCTCGACGTTTTACACCTCACTGATACGGAAAAACATAATTTTGCAATCTTGTCCGTATGTCTGTGTGTCTGTCTGTCTGTGTGTGTGTGTGTGAGTGTGTAAACACGATAACTTGAGTACCGTTACATCTAGGTTGATGAAATTTCATATATAAGTATTTTATCAAAATTGTAGATCCGTATCAACTTTTGAGCGATTTCCGATAACCGGAAGTGGTACTTTTCCTAATTTGAATTTTTCAAAAGCCTATAACTTGAGTACTGTTTCAGATAGATAAATGAAATTTCACATGTAAGTAAAAGATCTAATTTACGCTACTTCCGATTTCTCAAAAAGGTAATGTAAATTTTTAAAGTACTAATAATATTGCGCACTATTATGCACTCTTTTATTTGGCGTACACTTTGTGTGCAATTCTTTTGTCTACGAGATTTTATTCTATTTTTAAAACTTTAAGTATTTAAAATGGATTAAAAATCATGTCTATAGCCCGAGTTCCCATCACCTGTTATTTTATATAAGAATATTGGAGAAAGTTTAGGGGAGATCACTCCCGGTTTATTTAATTTTTTTAGGTAAGGTACTCATAGAATGGATTCAGACGGCGTGGGTTTAGCGTTAGATCGCTATACTGCTACATGGGTACCTAACTCATATTATGGAAAGTAAAAGTGACTGAGCAAAGTGCTTACAACAACTTCTCTTTAAATGCCGAGGTCTAGAATCATATGAACTCTACTTTACTTGCCCAATTGATCGCTAACTCTAAATAGGATTCTTTACTTTACTTAAAATAGAGTGTTGGTGTTGGTTAAGATGTACGTAAGATAGCATTTACGTTTATAATATTTGGATACTTAACTAGCGCAACCACTCACTGTGTAATCCATCTACCTTTAGTGTATCACAACTACCTAAGGTGAAACACAGTCGCTTGTTGTGTAATAAGTGAACCTTAAATAAAGAAAAATGAAATTCAGCATTTTATTATTTATATTTTTCATCAAAGGTACTGTATTATTTCTTTAATTTAAATAATTTCTTTTATCTTTCGAGATTTCAAAACATTGATAACTATATCCTACATCGCAGGAGAATAATTTCTTCTTCGATTTCTTGTATATTGCTGATTATGTTAAAAAAAATCGAATATTTTACGTGTATACATGATACTTTTGGGGTTTTACTTTTTTAAAAACACACTTCTGCAAATATTATATTTGTTGTAGATGGTTTCAAAATGTAATTGGGTAATTATATAGGCCTACTCAAATGTCAAAAACTAGTTTGCAGACTTTTTATATTCTCTTTTGAAGTTGACAAGAGTAGTTATTGATTTTAAAAGGAATGTTTTATAATAATAATTTTTTTACTTCCTATATTTTTTTTATACATCTGCGAATTCTCTAAAAGAACATCTGCCATTTAAATCTTCAAATTTACAAATTTTAACTATGCATTGCAGCCCGATTAAACCTCATGAAATACTAGTTTTTATGCCAAAATATAGATATGTAGTAATTTAGGCAGTAAAAAATATTTTTTCCGCTACAGCTAAATCCCATATTCTAGTCTTTTATGTTAAACGCCTTATTCTAGTTCTTAAAGAAAAACGTCATAACCTAGTCAGGAATAAAGATTGTCTTAATATTTTATCCATACATACAGTGAGAATTTGTTATGCAGTGATCTACACACTCACAATAGGAGACTCAATCACCTGTAGTTGTTGGAGATTTGGGAAGGTTGAACTATCATGGATTTTGCAAAAAGTAAATGGAGAAGAAATACCCCTCATCACAAATTGCTCCTACCCCTACAAAAATTGCCCAGTCCAGTACTATGAAGGTGATCATAGATGTTTACAATGAATTGTTTTGTTTTGTTTAGTATTGTGTAGAGTAGGGTTTTGTTTTATTATGTTGGGTTGTGTTGTTAGGTAAGTAGCAGGGTGTTTACGTGGTGTTTTGATCGCCCTGTGATGTTCGGAGGGCCAGGTTGAATGAAAGTGCTCGAGGTAAATGTACCTGTATAGTATACAGCTACATTTTTGATAAGTGTATACGGCCACCCTAAGAAAAAAGCGATATTTTTTATTTACAAGCGGGAGGTGATGGGGCAGTGACCGCGGCAATTTGCTAAAACAATTCATGGTATTTTAAGTTTATTTTTAAATATTTCAAACAATTGTGACTAAATCATAGAAGACCTACATCATTATCTTTTGTCAAAGCCTCAGCTGATGTAGATCTAGTCAACTTATTAAAGTAAAAAACTCAAAACAATCACGTTACAATTACATATTACAAATCAGCGCGTGTATAACGTGCTCGCTTGGTCAGGTGTGTCGGGCTGACCACAGCGTAAAGTTGAGTTAAGGTAATATTATGACGTCACGTTTAATAGCCTAATTTACCCAAACCCATATAGTTGTTGATAGCTAGACAGCCACAAATGATAATAAAAAGTTCTGCCTACAGCATCTTCAATTAAAAAAAAAAGATGCATGACTGTCTGCAATCTCTGACTCTATAAAAATAGTATGTGAAAAAAGCCTTAAAATCGAGAGGCATAGTACGGGTGGAAGGGGGGGGGGGAGTGTCTAAAATCCCAAATTTTTGTGGACGTCATAAATGGATGACCCCCTATGGTTGTCTTTACTTTAAGATAATATTGATGGTATCTAGCTTCTATATAATGTACATTTTTAATTTAAATATATTACATATATATATATTATATATGTCGCCTCGGCATATATATATATATATATATATATATATATATATATATATATATATATATATATATATATATTAAAGTGTCATTTACACAATGCAGATTATTTAAAAACGATCAAAATCTACATTATTTTTTCAGGTAACATTTTCTTTGAGGTTAACAATTTTTGGAATAAACTGACAGTCCAACACGTCGAGCAAGACATGTTTCGACTGATATGCACACCAAATTTTACCTCTATATACCTGGACAACTGTATGATGAATGTCGTTGATAGTGCCGGAGGTATTTTGTTTTGTTCTAATAATTATTATGTTTCGTGTATGGTTTGGTAAGAACAGTTTGAACACGCTTTAAAAAGAATAATAGGCCACCAGTAGACTTTAAGTGGGTTCAGGTTTTACATTCTAGTCGCGATTTAACAGGACGAACTAAAAATCTAATACACTTCAATTTAATATCAAAATTTAGTTTACACATCTATAGGCTCAGCTGAAGAGAGAGGAAGAAAAAAAACTAAAACTTGTTTTAAAAATAATACTTTACGAATACAGTTACGAAAATTATTATTTCTAATACCGATGATTCTATATTTTCTAAAATACACCGTAATGTCTTATAAGGTAAAAGTAAAGTAAGTAAAGTTTCCCTTTCAAACCTGACGGTCTATGGGGCAAGTGAAGTAGAGTTCACTTGTTTCTGTGACCTCGGCATATGAAGAGATAGTGTGGTCAGCACTATGCCCAGCCGCCTTTACTTTCCCTAACGTGAGTTGGGTACCCATCAGAGTTGGGTGGACGGTCTACTGACAAGAACCCGGATTCGAACTCGAGACTAACGGTTAGCAGTCCAGCTCTCTACCGCTAGACCACTCCGCCCCATAATGTCTTATAAGGGCGCCCTAAAGCCTACATATTATTGTCGAAAGTCGCAAAGCGGCCCCTTCCCCCCTGCGACATTTCCCGTCAACCTTATAGACCGCGATAATTCTTTGATAATGTGTAAAGCGCTTAGACACTACAAGATCCAGTTTTAAAAAAAATAATGACACGGGGAGAGAGTCTGAATGTGTGAGTTAACTTCACATACAAGATCAAATATAGGAGATACCTTCACATACAAGAACAAATATAGGAGATAACTTCACATACAAGAACAAATATAGGAGATAACTTCACATACAAGAACAAATATAGAAGCAATGTTCACATACAATAACAAATATAGTAGCTAACTTCACATACAAGAACAAATATACGAGCTAACTTCACATACAAGAACAAATATAGGAGCTTATTTCACATACAAGAACAAATAAAGAAGTTAACTTCACAAGGACGTGTGAAGTTGGGGGTGGGTAGTGATATTAATTTAGTAAGCCATGAAGTGTTTCTATTGAGAGCGAGTCAATGTATTAGATTTACGGCTTGTATTTGTGTATCATAGACGTGAACCGTTCTTCGTGTGTTATCTACACATAACATAACACATAAAGAATTTATCACAACCTCGTAGTATATCCACTGGCCTGATATATTATACTGACTATTTAGGCTGAGTTTCTTACATCATATACTAACTAGTAAGGCTGAATCTTATACTCAGCCAAGTTGGTTGAAAATATCACACTAAACTGTTGACTGAGTTTCTCATTCTAGCCACTATGACTGATTATCTTATCCAGTCCAGTATGATTGACTTCCTACTCTAGCCAGCATGACTGATTATCTTATCGAATCCAATTTGATTGCACATGAAATTTTTTTTCGTTGAAACAGCTCCGTCTGTTGGTTCACCAATTCACACTCTAAACAAAGGAGACCAATTCACCTGTGATTGTGATTTATTTGGTAGTCCGAAACTTGAATGGACCCTACAAAAAGTCAGCGGTGAGATGATCAGCCTGGTCAGGACATGCTACCAGCCATACACAAGCTGTATCCCCGTGTACGATCCAGGTAGGTAGAACTTTTATTTTCGGATCTTTTACAAAGCTTTTATTCAGCTCGATTCCCCTCTCGTACTTTTGTCGACCGTCCGTCGAGTATGGAAAACTACGAACATAATTTTGATTTCTGCCGAACCGATTTATTTCCAACTTGGCACGTAGTTAAAGACCTGATAAAATTACAATTTTTTTCAATGTATTAGGTTTATTCTTTCACTTTTTGCAGTCTGTTAATTTAAGTTTGTCATATTAGGTACAACCATTACAAAATTAAACGTCAAAAATAAACGGAAAAATTCCAGCTTACGCTTATCTTAGAGGCGAATAGTTAATTTATTTTTTAAAAATGGAAAAAAAAAATTAACATTTTAATTTTTGGTCTTAAATAATAAATAAAAAAACCAATAGACAATAAAACAACTAGACATGAAAATGACCTAAAATAGCAAAATAATTGTTTCTTGATATAGATCTAGTAAATATATTGGGGAATTGTGATGGCTGTAATAGAAAAAAAGTATTTGGTAATTAATATACAAACTTTGAAACTTTATATATATATATATATATATATATATATATATATATATATATATATATATATATATATATATATATATAACAATCTAAACGGGGTCATTCGTTGCTAGCGTCCCACTTATGGGACGCTTGTTGTACATTAGATATAACCTTGTATTTATTTTAAAATGTTACTCTTGAAAAAATTTCAGGTAGAAATATAGTTCTGCTACAAGTTTCAAATGTATTTTCCACTTAAAATGTTAATATTTAAGAAGATATGCACTTTCCTATGCGCATGTTCTCTTTTTTTCGGCCATTTTGACAAATCTTGCAAATCCGGGGCTATAACTTTTTTTTAAATTAAATTTTTTTACAAAACACAGACAAATACAATAGTCTAACCATATTCAAATACCATGAAACATAATTTGTATTTTAACTAGTTTTTAACAAATTTTAGCAATTTTTTTTTGCAAGCGTCCCATAAGTGAGAAGTTAGCAGGATATGGGTTAAAGTTTACTATAAATTACAGGGCAATGCTGTGAATAAAAATAAACAGCCTGCGATTTGAGGCGAACTCTTATCTGCATTTACCTATTCATTTTCCATCCTCAGCGAATTTTATAACAGTGACTGAAGATAAAAATGCATACATGAAGAAATACAGCTCTATAGCTCCGATGTTTGTATCAAAGCTGACAGTGAAGCATGTGGACAAAGATATGCTGCGGGTGTTTTGTTCTAGCGATGGTTTTGGGAATAGACGAGATCGATGTTTGATGAATGTTGTGGATTACGTTCGACGTAATTTTTGTTAGAACATGCAAAGTGCGGTTTGATCTTTAATTTGTTGTAATTATCCTAATCCGATGAGTCGTAAGTATCATTGTTGACTTCATTACACTCTTAGATGTACGTTTTGTTATTACTTTCTAAATGAGGTTAGAACTTTACTTTCTTGCAGTCTTTCTTGAAGTCTTGAGTTTGAACCCACTGGTCAAATGAGTCTCAATAGCTGGGGACAGCTACACTTCTGGAAGAGATAACTCCAAAATCAAACAACTGCTTTCTTTGTAGTTTGTTCGTGGTTGGACTAAGGATATGGAAGCAAATACAAAAAATGAAAAGCAGGCTGAAATCGAAGTTAATGGCCTCAATGGCGCATTACCAATTGACACCAGTTGATACTTTATGTGTTGAAGGTAATTCCTTCCAACATTAAAATTAAGAACAAAGAAGATATGTTCAAATTGTTTTGTTTTTACATTCTGTATACAACTTAAGCGTTATGGTGATATTAGATGTCGTTCATGTTAATATTCAAAGTCTAAATACAATTGGGCCTTTTTTGTGTTGAGATATGCTAATAAAAGGATTCAAAACAACGTATTTTGGTAAAATATTAATTGCACTAACAATACCTTTTACATGCACAATATGTAATACTTCTTAGACATGCATTTTTGTTTGTTTTTTAAACTATAAAACATGACACCATTTTTTTTTTCTCAGCCAACAACGGCACTTCAAAGAGCACAGCAACATACTCAACTACCCAATCACCGGGCGTCTACTTAACCAAATACCCCACACAATCATTCCTGACAACCCCATTCGAATTCCTCTTCTTAACCACACCTAAACCAGCAACTGAAAACTACGCAACCAGCCACGAACAAAACATTAGTTTATATGCGTTGATTTTCGTCGCAGTTTTAATAACAATTATATGCGTGATAGCTAGCTTTTATATCATATATGCCAAAATTAAGAAATTACAAATAGAAAGAGAAGCCATGCGTGCTGTTAGTCGTACGCCTCAGTTAACGCCAACAACTGCTCCTGAACCTTATCAAAATGACATGAGTTCAACACGCGTAAACCCACTAGTTCATCCAAGTAACAGCACACTAACTACAGAGTCGCAACAACACACAGCATCAATACAGAATTCTGCCCCAAATGACTTACCACCGCCGTATTCCAGTCTACTTGAACTAAGAGTTGAACCGCCCCCATACACGACACTGACAGCTGAAAGCTACAACTGCGAGTCTGCTCCATCGCATGAAGCACAGGATGTTCCGCCTCCATACACGACAAGATACATTGCGACATACAACAGTGTGTCTCTATCTGCCCAACAACAAGCACAGAATGTGCCACCTCCATACACAAGATACACTACAACATACAACTGTGTGGCTCTATCTGCCCAACAAGCAACCAATGAGCCGCCTCCACCCTACACAGGTAAACGATTGTTTATAGCGCCTATATTGATGTGATGGTCATTTAGAGTAGTTCTTTCAAACAGACAGACAAACACACCACTGACAGACGGAAGACTTGACAAACTGACAGAAAGTAAATAAATCGGAAAAAATGACAAATTGACAGAAGAACGACGGACGAGATATTTGAAGGATAGATTGAAACATTGAGGACAACTTTAGGCAATAACTGTCAAAAATATCCTAACAGATGAAAATATCATTATTTAAAAAAAAATGATAAATTATTCCATAAATTATTGCATATTAGAAATTTAGTCTTTATTCCAGATAAGAAAAAATATTAATTATTCGATAGATTATTGCATATTACAATTTAAGATTTTATACCCGATGACTTTAAAGTAAATCTTTGCTTGCTTTTTAATTAACTATTTCAAATGTTTTCTACTTCAGTGTGGCATACCAGCTGAAACTACACAAATGGTCTTCGTAGGATAAATGATTTGTGAGACTGCATACTTTAACATGGAGCCAAAATCTCTGTTTTATCAACAAATTAACATGTCTATATTTTGCTATATTAATTTGACTTCTAGCTGCTGGAATAAACCAGTATTTTATTTTACCTGTAAATACCGTGTGCAAAATGAGATACAAATCGAATCTTAATCAAACTCAGCAATGAAAAAAAAAATGACATTAACGACACATTATCATTTTTCTTGTCTTTAACTGAATAAATACGTGAATGATCAATACGTCTTAAATTTTTTTTGTTCCACATTAATACACAGACAATAACATGCATACATGTTTAAAACATACACAAATCAGCTTTGTCATTGTGCTCATAATGTTAATTTTTCAATTTCTCAAATAAATAAATGCCGTTAATTCGCTGTTGATAATCTTTTAACAACCGTATTGAAAGTTAGTATTTAAGATATGCTTTTCATTGTGTAGAGCATATTCTTTCATCATCATCTTTTCCCTTTCGTGTCCAAGACACATCTGTTCAGGGACCTCGGCAAATAAAGGCATAGAGTAGTCTTTGTTTTCTCCCTAACGTGAGTTAGGTACCCACCAGAGATGGGAGGTCACAGTGACGGTCTACCGACTTAAACAGAATTCGAACACGAGACTTTGGGTTTGCAGTCTATCTCTCTACATCTAGGCCACACCGACCCTTCAGTGATGTACTACTCGACGAAAAATCGAATCTACTGAATAGACTGAAGTCCTGAAAACCTATTGCCATCAGAGGCGTAGCGACCCTTCCCGGCGCCCGGGAACATACTTTCGATTTGCATCCCCCTCAAACTTTCGATTTACACCCCCCTCCTTCAAACTTTCGATTTGCACCCCCCCCCCTCAAACTTTCGATTTCCAGCCCCCTTTAACTTTCGATTTGCACCCCCCCCCCTTTCAAACTTTCAATTTTTTTTTTCTCCAACCCATTTTGGCGCCCCCTAAGGTCGGCGCCCCTCGCCCCCTCGCTAAACCTCTGATTGCCATTTTATGATATTGTGTCCAAGAAAACAATTTTATTTCTGCGTTATAATCGAAATGTAAAGAGTTTAATTGATTCTGCCTATAGTTGTCTAAAAATTGATTGGTCATTATATTGTTCTTTTAACAATCGCTTAAAAAACTAATACTGAAACAGTGTGCAGCATCACAATAACAGCAGTGATATAAAAAAGTGCCCTACACTGAGAAGTGAGAAGTAAACAAAAAAGATGCAGTCAAAAGAAGAAAAATAAGACGACAACATCAACGAATAAAGCAGTTCAATACTGAAGATGGTGACGGACAGTGGAGTAAATGAAGGTGCAGATATAAAATACACTCGTCCGCTCTAAATGCCATCGAACTAGACTACGCGCCAGAAAATGGAAATGAAGGGGAATAAGATGATACCGTGATAATGTCAACGATAAAAATGCCGTTTAATTTGATTAGGTCAGGGAATAATGTAAATGGATTAGTTCATGGGATTAGGTCACGGGATATTGTCAATGGTTAAGGTCGATGGATTAATTATTGGATTAGGTCAGGGGATTATGTAAATGGATTAGATTATGGGATTGGTCATGGGATTGGGTCAATTAATTAGGTCATGGAATATGGTAAATGGAATAAGTAAATGGATTAAGTCGATGGATTTGGTCATACGATTAGATCAGTGAGTAAAGTAGAATATTGGGTCAATGGATTAGATCTGGAGATTATGAAAATGGGATTGGGTCATGGAGTTGGGTCGATCAATTAGGTTAGGGATATGGTCAGTGAGGGATGAAGTGGTCTAGCGGTATAGAGCTGGACTGCTAACCCGTAAGTCTCGAGTTCGAATCCGGGTTCAAGTCAGTAGACCGTCCCTGAGTCCACCCAACTCTGATGGGCACCTAACTCACGTTAGGGAAAGTAAAGGCGGCTGGGCATAGTGCTGACCACACTATCTCTTCATATGCCGAGGTCACAGAAACAAGTGAACTCTACTTCACTTGCCCCATAGACCGTCAGGTTTGAAATGGAAACTTTACTTTACTTTATATGGTCAGTGGATAAGATCAACGGATTAGGTGATATGATTAGATTAGTGGAATAGGTAGGTTATTGGGTCAATGGATTAGATCAAGCGATCGGGCCAATGGATAAAACTCAGGTAATTATGTAATAGGGTGTTCGTGAGTTTGGACAGGTTGAGGGAGGGGGGGCCGGAGTGAGTAAGGTATACAGAGGAGTGAGTGAAGAGTATATGAAGAAGCGTTTGGTAATGTAAAGTATGCTATTGTTTTGCGTAAGAGCAACGTTGGTTTTTTTGGAGGAGTGTGTTAGCTGTTGTGGTGGTTTGAGGTGAATGATATAGCGAAGAGATTTTTTTTATGTGGTTATGTAATGAAGTGCATTCGGTTTAGTTATACAACATTGGGATTCTCTTCGCTTGACTTGTTTAAAGGTAAGTAGATTTCGTGAAATGAACTTACCTCTTTTTATGTTTAAATACTAATTTACTCCATAATATTTTAAACTATATTGCGCACTGTTTATGTTGATATTTTTTTTGACACCGTTGCGCATCGAAATTGGATGAGTAGCCTAAATATCTACCAAAAAGAAACACACCATTTACATTCTAATTTCCTGAATTAATTGAAATTTAATAAGAGAACACTCACGTGTATAGAGTATTTAATACCTTTAACAAAAGGAGCAAGAATGAAATCAGACTAGTCAAAGTGGAATTTATTATAGATAGATTAAAAAAAAAAGATGACATTGAAAGAAGTAGGCCTACTTTTCATGTTTTACTTTAGCTGTCCCATAGTAGGTAAGAGCATTTTCAACTGTTGTCTCACCTATATATTTAGTATCGCAGCTTTAATGTATATTTAATGCTAAGCTTTGCGTAATACCATTAATACTTTTAAAAATGATTAAGTAAAAATATATTGAAGACTGATTTAGGTTTCTTGCAATAGGCTTAAAAGTCTATGTAATTATTCGGATTTAATATCTTTTAAAATATCGTTTTAAAAATATGTCAAGATGTACAATGACAGTTACGTTTTAAAAAATTAAAGCCGTTTGAGATCCATTGATTACACTCATTTTTTAAATATTTTTGAATTGAAAATAAGCCGTTGAAAAGCCGGTTAGAATTATTTTATCAATTCATAATATATTTTTAAATATCGCTCTCAACCCCCTCCTAGTAGTTTATTTATTTTATATAATATAGCCTATCTTTCCTTATCATCACAACACAAATTTAAAATAAAAGTGTTAGCTAAATTATTATTATATTACTAGTATTAATTTGTTTGAATATTTTTTGCCCTAAAGAAACCGGAAGTATTTTTATACTTATTACACAAATGTTCTAAAATACTCACATTTGGTTGAAAAATTAGCTTTAAGAACCTGCTTTTCAAGCCTATTGTAAAATATTTTATGGTAACTGTTCTTATCTTTTTATGATCGTGTATAACGGGATAAATGGATACACGACAATTGTGCGTTTGTTGATCAACTTTTTGCAGGCTGCGATATCGGATGGTTTGAACCTCAGCGTCAGGATAAATGCAGCAGTAGAAACGACTCGATGGATTCGTTTGTCAAAGAGGCGAACAGTACTGAGAGCAGCAGACACGATGTGAGCACTGTGAGGAGTTGCCCCCATGACGTCAGGTACACTGGAGTCGAAGAGAGTCTAGATTCGGGCGAGACGGTCAACACAGAAAACTTAAATACGTACCCGGCGAACGAAAGCGTCGGGACACTGTTTTTCGATAAGTGTACAAATGGTAAGTCAACGGGCTTTTGCTGGGAACCTGGGTTTAAATAATATGAGAAACGAGCCGACCCGCGGTGTAGCATACGCCGCTATTTAGTTGTTTTATTTTCTACTTTTCGGTAATTCATAAATTGTCAATTCGACACTATCAATGCTGTGACTGAAAATATGTGCTTTAAAACAAACATTATCATTAGCTCGTGAAGGACAATAAACATCCCCGGATTCTCACTCCCCCCCCCCAATGAAAGCAACATCCTCTTAGTTAACTTCTCTAAGTTTCATATAGTTAAACTAAATTATCTGCCCCTAATAGCCGTCACTGATTCGACCCGGCTCTACGGTTGTAAACATTCGTCTGATGGGGGTGGGGGTGGTAGCAATATGCTTAGAGAGCGGGGTAGGAACGGCTAAGCCATTACGTGGTGGTGTCTCGCATGGTCCCGACGTAGAGAATTATATATATACGGGCCGACCCGCGGCGTATCATACGCCGATATTTAGTTGTTTTATTTTCTACTTTTCAGTCATTCATAATCTGTGAATTCGACAGTATCAACGCTGCCACTGAAAATTTTTGCTTTAAAACACTAACAGTAGGCCCCTAATAGCCGTCACGAAACCCGGCTGTACGATTTTAAACATTTAGCGTGAACCACAGCTCACCAGACCATGTGGGGGTGGGGGAAGTTGCGATATGCCTAGAGAGGAAGAGAGGGGACTGATAGGCGCACTTACAGCTTGTTTTCTAACGTCTCCAAAAAGAGAAATATATATATATATATATATATATATATATATATATATATATATATATATATATATATATATATATATATATATATATATATATATATATATATATATGGTAAATCTACTAGCAAACATCAATGATCCATTGTTTTAATATTATGAGAAATGATAAGTCTACTAGCAAACATCAGGGATCTTGTGTTTTAATAATAAAGAGAAACAATAGTGACTAATTTCAAATTTATTTTTAGCCTGACTAACAAAACCGTGGGTATGTTGCCTTGTAATAACATTATTAGCGGTAAGTCAACACCACTAATAATACGCCGACTCATCCTACACTTTACTATTATGCATTTTATTTTTCTCACTCTTCATATTATCGTCATTATAACAAAATTTACTACATATATATATATATATATATATATATATATATATATATATATATATATATATATATATATATATATATATATATATCAGTTTCACTATATCGTATATAAATCAATATGAAAAGAATGATCTGACATGAAATAAAATATTAAAATAAGTCAAAAATAAAAGTAAAAACCAACCTATCAAAAAGTGTGTATAATTATATAAATTATATACAAAATATGCATTATAACTAGATAAATAGATACTTATGTCGTTGATGTTTTACGACATAATATACAGATTCACACATGACGTTGATCAATTAAAATATATATAGAACAGTTATGTTTATAACATAATACAAATGTCATTAAAGTGTTATTAAAAATAATCACATTAGATCTTTTCATTATAACGGGTTAAATGGGATCAGGGATAAGAACACGAGCATGTCTTATTTGTTCCGTGATCACCATTAGCATTGCAGTTCCCTACAAACCAGCACAGTGGTTGTTACCTGTTCCATCTTTAGTCTGAATATTCAAGACTAGCCTCGCCGTGTTTATTCCACAGACATCACTCGTAATTCAACAATAGAGCCAGACCTGGGCTATACATTTGTGCTTGACATCTTGGGAACCTGTTTTAATGTCACAGTTATCGAGGCCAATAGAGAAAGGATCGATTATGACAAGATGATTGCGAAACTGGAGGTAGGAGTGTAGGTGTAGGTGTAGGTGTAGGTGTAGGTGTAGGTGTAGGTGTAGGTGTAGGTGTAGGTGTAGGTGTAGGTGTAGGTGTAGGTGTAGGTGTAGGTGTAGGTGTAGGTGTAGGTGTAGGTGTAGGTGTAGGTGTAGGTGTAGGTGTAGGTGTAGGTGTAGGTGTAGGTGTAGGTGTAGGTGTAGGTGTAGGTGTAGGTGTAGGTGTAGGTGTAGGTGTAGGTGTAGGTGTGGGTGTGGGTGTGGGTGTAGGTATAGGTATAGGTATAGGTGTAGGTGTAGGTGTAGGTGTTGGTGTAGGTGTAGGTGTAGGTGTAGGTGTAGGTGTAGGTGTAGGTGTAGGTCTAGGTGTAGGTGTAGGTCTAGGTGTAGGTGTAGGTCTAGGTGTTGGGGTAGAAGTAGGTGTAGTTAAAATAAGGTGTAGATGTAGAAGAGGTGTAGGTGTCAAATGTTACTGTAGCCTGTCTGGTGTAAATTATTTTTCTTCCCTTTTTTCAGTTATATTTAATGTTTGCTTTTATGGTAGTAACAAAATTTACCACGTTTTAATTATATCAAATGACTTCTTCTACTTATCCTTAATTTGATCCTAATATTTTCCATATTAAGGACGATATTTCTCTTTATTTTGTATAAAATAAGCTAATCGCAAACCTTGTTACATTACCAGGAGAAAAAACTTTGAGTTTCTGTTGCACTGTTACCCTTTTACTTTAAAAAAATGTATAGATTATTAAAGATATTTTACTCTTCTCATTACACTTCATTACATCTATAATATTCCTACATCTCTAGATCAATGTGAACTTCCAGGAAACAATCGATAGCGAGCAGGATGAGACTAAGAACGTTGTACACAGCGATACGATGACACTTAGCACAACGTCTAATTTTGTCGCTCAAATTAGCGAAAACAATTCTCGGCTGATCAACGTCACGTCTGTTTTACACATTGGAAGGTGCACGGAGTTTGGTATCCGACGGAAAGTTGGTGAGTGATCTAAGTCAGTACGTTGTTGGGACCTTCAACTTTATATTAATGTTCTACAGAAATATATGATAAAGGCATAACATGTTTATTTTAAGTATATAAATATACCCGTCCATCATTCTATTCGGAAATACGTTTATTTGTTGCGTCTGTGTTTTTGTTTGTTTGCATTGTGTTTGTTAGCATTGTGTTTGTGTTTTCCTTTGAATGTGTGTTGTGTTTGTGTTTTCTTTTGTGTTTATGTTGTGTTTGTGTTGTGTTTTGTTGTGTATAGTTTTGTTCTGTTCCCAAGGTGGCACATTTCAAAAAGATTTACCGTGGCGGTATATATATATATATATATATGTATATATATATATATATATATATATATATATATATATATATATATATATATATATATATATATATATATATATATATATATATATATATATATATATATATATATATATATATACATATATATATATATATATATATATATATACATATATATGTACATATATACATATATATGTATAAATATATATATATATATATATATATATATATATATATATATATATATATATATATATATATATATATATATATATATATATATATATATATATATATATATATGTATATATATACATATATATATATGTATATGTTACGGTCAAAGCCCGAAGTGCGGCCAAACCCCGGATTGGCCGGCCAATCCGCGCATTTGCCAGCTCTCTTGGCCAAAGCCCAAAGAACTTAGCACTAAGATCGTATTTTGTACATTGGCCGGCCAATGCGCGCACTGGCCGGGACGTACTGGCCAAAGTCCGAAGCGCTTAAACTTGACAGCGTATTTTGTACATTGGCCGGCCAATGCGCGCACTGGCCGGGATGTCCTGGCAATGTTCTATCTAGACTAAGTTGTGATCGCATTTTCATTATTCTGGGTGTGTTTTCATTGAGAGTAACGTATTGTTTAGCTCTTGTTTGTATAGCATTCAATATGCAAGGCGACATGGATCAAAAGGGCCGTCAGACCATGAGACAGACATAGCAGATGGCAGTCAAAAGAAAAAAATGTAAATCCATGTTCGTTTCCATATATGGGCTCTCGATAAAATAGTTACTGAGGAAGATATTGAGAACATTGAACATTGGAGGTTGCCATAAATGCAACGACATCCTCAGCTAACACATCTACTGCCGTGGCGGAACGCCCAGACCAGTTTCGTGACAATAATGTGGCCAACAGATTCTATATAGTTTGTGAAAAACATTGTAGTGCAGCTCATTCTTTTGGATCCTGTAGCAACGATGTCCATGCTATTTGTGGAATACCCAATGAAGCAGACGAAGGGTACGGAGGGAACATTACCTGCAGATTGTGTCACAACAAACAAGACATCATGGAACAAAGATCAGCAGCTCATACTAGCTTGTAAACTCAAGGTGCTAAGATGCTTAAAACATCAAATACAAAATTTAAAGGTGGCGAAGTGGGTGACAATGTAGCATCCGTTTTCCAGATGTTGACAGAGGTCACGGTGATCCCCGAAGCGTCATTGCAGTTGTCATGAGCGTCGAGGGCGGTTTCTACGGCACATGGTGTTCTAAAACAACTGTATGCTAAAAGTGAGTTTTCAATTCTTCACGAAAAACTGCTCTTATTGTCGTCAGTTGGCACTGAGGAAAAATCACTACGAACCATCGCATTTTCACAATCATTGACTGGGGGCCAAGGCTACACTCGCTGCAATTGCACAACTAAGTGCACAACAAATCGCTGCAAGAGTAAAAATAACAAGTTGCTATGTAATTCTAAATGCCATAAAAGTTCAACTTGTTGTAACAAATGATGCTATTGATAGATTGAGACTATAGTACAATAAAAAATTTGAATGTTTCTGTCATTTACTTTAATTAATAATAATAAAGACTTAATTTCATGATCCTTACGGCATAAAAAAAAAACCAAAATCTGCTCATGATCTTCTAATTCGAACTTTGGCCGGTCGTCCCTTGCCAGATGATCTTCTAATTAAGACTTTGGCCGGTCCACCATGGCCAGTCCGTGGACTGGCCGGCCAAAGGCCGAAATCAAGAGCTATTTCAGACTTTGGCCGGTCCACCATGGCCAGTCTGCGGATTGGCAGGCCAAAGGCCGAAATCAAGCAAAGTTTCGGACTTTGACCGACCTATGGGAGGCGATATTGGCCAATGCGCGGATTGGCCGGCCAATCCTAGCATTGGCCGACTTCGGGCTTTGACCGTAACATATATATATGTATACATATATATATATATATATATATATATATATATATATATATATATATATATATATATATATAAAGCAAAGTATGTTTGTTTATCTGTCTGTCTGTCCTTCTGTCCTTTATGCATTACTACACCTCTCATCACATCGCCGTGACACTTTGGGAAGTTGTTGAGAATATTCCTGGGGAGGTTTCTGCGAAAAAAAAATTTCAAATTCGCAGGGGTGGCGCCCCGGGAGGGCGCGATTTGTTTTTTCTATATACGGTATATAAAATAATAAAAAAGAATTGCAGTGACACCGTTCATCCGATAGGCATGGAACTTTGGGGAGTTCATTATAAAACTCTATGAAAGGGTTCTATAAAAAATCATTTTTAATTTCGCAAGGGCGGCGCCACGGGAGGCTGCGATTTTTCTCTATATTATACGGTTTATAAAATTTCGGTTTCACACCGTTCATCCGTGTACCATGAAACTTTGGGGAGATGATTAGATTACTCAATGGTAGGGTTCTGCAAACAAATATTGTTTAATATTGCAAGGGCAATTTTTTTTTATCTATACACGGTATATAAAAAATAAAACTCGGATGCGGTTCATCGGAGTGCCATGAAACTTTAGGCAGTAGATGAGAATACTCCAGCGAATATTTCTGCGAAAAAGAAAACTAAAGTTTTTTATGGGCGGCGCCATATAGGGTACAACTTTCGTCAATACACGGTTTGGCGCCCATAGTTTTAGAGCGAATATTTTGGCCAGTAGCGTAGCGAAGGGGGGGGGGGGCGGGGGGGGGGGACATATGTCTTCGGGCGCCGATCTTTGGGGGCGCCAAAATGGGTCGGAAAAATAAATTGAAAGGTTGAGAGGGGGGTGCAAATCGAAAGTGTGAGGGGGGGGGGGGCAAATTGAAATCTTGAGGGGGGTGGGGGGTATGCAAATCGAAAGTTTGAGGGGGGGGGTGCAAATCGAAAGTTTGAGGGGGAGTGCAAATCGAAATCTTGAGGGGGTGCAAATCGAAAAGTTTGTCCCCGGGCGCCGGGAAGGATTGTTACGCCTCTTATGTTGGAACTTGGCATCCGTTAATCGAGCGTCCTGCATAGCGAGTAAGGGGTACTACTATATTCAGTGGTAAAACTACAACAGGCTTCTAAAAATAACTTTGTAACACGAGGAAATCCTTCTGTACAGTTTCGTCACCTTGCGAAAGATGAAAGCAATAACTTTTTGAATATGAGAAGCCTACTGTAGAGTTTCGTCATTTTGCGAATGATGCAATAAGCATCTATTATTTGACAATCCAGTCAAAAATTGAGATCGAGCATCTAATAATAGACCATTAGTAACTCTAGCATATTGCAGTCACACTGATTGTTAAAACACGTCAACTAATTTTTTTACGTGTTAAAGAAAAAAATCCTGTTCATTTGTGTCACTTTAGCGAATGACGAAATCTGCATCATAATTAACAGGATGCTATTTGGCCGATGGCGCCTTTTAGTTTTAACGAGCCAGGGGTCGTACGCCGCGCCTATGTGTAATCGGGGGGGGGGGGGGGTGGGGTGGGGCTAAGAGCGGGGCTCTACGTCTCTGACACATGTGCGGTCACCGAAGTGTGTTCTACCATATTATTTCGGTGAGTGATTAATTTACACTCAATGTTTTCATGCGGTAGTGTAGGTAAACCCGTGTCCCGATATTTATGATCCCAGCGCATGCACTGTTTACATTTAAATAACTCACTTTTATAAAAGACGGTCACGCGTCTAAGAACATATGATTGGTAACGCGTTGGTGAAATCCTGCTAATACTTTTCGTCAAACTTTCTTCTATCCCCGCGGCAACGCGCGGGGGACGGATACGCTAGTATATATATATATATATATATATATATATATATATATATATATATATATATATATATAGTTGCTATTTGGCGTACTATATTGAAGTAAACCCACATTTCCCTTATAATAAACCTAATCTAATATTTAAAAGTATTTGTGGCTACTGTTTATATCTTTTCAAATGAGAAAAACAAAAATAGAAAAAAACAACAACATTTGGCAGTTATCTTTACCGTAGTGTGGTTTGTAACAGCTGGGTAATTTTTAATTTTTAAAAAATGTGTGACTGTCCTGAAACCTAAATATTAGATTTCACTTAAACCAAGTTTTACTTTGTAGAAATGCTTATACACGTATCCTTTTTCAGCCGAAATCTTCCCTTTCGAAAAACGTGACGAATTACGGAAGTATTTTACTCGGTACGTATAATTTTAATTCAAGGCAATTATTTTACGTCTTTTTTTTTGTAAGAAATACCGTTGACTTTTACTAAATTCTTTCTCTCATTACTACTTTTAGGAGTGAAATATTATCGACCTCATCGAAGAAGCTGATCATTAAAATACAACTAGTTGTTTTAGCGATTCTCTTGATGATTATCTGTTGGCAAAGTACGTTATTTTATCACAAATTTCCCTTTTTATATTATAAAGATATGAAAAATGTAATGTGTTTTTACTTGTTGATTTAATCGCATTTTTGTTTGGCCTCCTCGTCAAAAGAAATGGGATTATGTTATTTTTTTTTTCTCTTTTTTCTTCAAATTTTTGTGACTTGCATTTTTAATTTCAGAGATTTGGTCAAAAAGGCTTAACTTGCAACTCAACCAACAACGCCAGAGAGTTGCCGCCCATGCTCCACCAGCAGCTGCAGGATAACCTAGGGCTGCAGCAGA